CAATCAAAATAATATTTTTTTCTTTAATGGGGGGCTTAAGTTGAACATTTCCATAAGAATCTTCTCAAAAGTCATCAATCAGATTTCGTTATGTAAGTTCACTATCATCAAAGCATTGAAATTTTCCATTGTAAGTCGATTGATTCCTTAACTGATTTTTTATGACATCAAGTGTGGAATAGCATTTTTCGCACCCTACCTGTGATCACGCTAAAATAAGGACATACTGGTAAAGGACTTGAAGATGACTGCTAGCACGGATGTATAATCTGTAGTTATACGAAACATTAAAACAGCAAACCAAACATTGTTTGCAAAGTGAATGTGATTAACACTTGTACAGAAAGATCTAATTCATGCCCTGTATGCAACCCTATGTCATTTACATTATCTTCATCTCCATCATTGGATCCAGATGAGAGGTCATACAACTCCGTCCTTCTCGAGTCAGGCCATTTTCTTCCAAAATCTTTAAATTCCTCCCGTAAAACAGCCGCGGCATCTCCTTTTTTTATGAGAATGAATTGCGGGTAATAGGTCTTGAATTATTACATCACTTTCATTTGCTTCCAGTCCTGTGTTCGCCCAATTGTCAAACATAGCACTTCATACTTCTTCCATGTTGCGTTTTTCTTTTTTCCTACGAGTGTGCGGAAAAAGCGTTTTCACGCACTGATTTGCGTACGGAAAGTAGCACGTGAAAATTTTTTTACCGCACGGCGTGCGCGAAAAAAGTTTTTCATGCACGCTGTGCCCGAGAAAAGTTTTTCACGCACTGATTTTTTTTTATAATTTTTTTCATGTCATGCATCTCAAAAATTTTAGACCTTTTTCCACCGTTTTTTCTCTCCAAGAAAGCTATTAGGTTTTTGTACTGACCAATATCGACCTCTTTAACGAGTTGCAGGGCCGTAGCCAGGGGGGGCATTTGGGGGCAATGCCCTATCTTTCAAATGATGATGCCCTACCTTTAAAACACAACATGCGTTAAGGTTTCTCTAGCAAATTTGAAAGAGTAGACAATGAAATGAATTGAAATAAATTGAAATCGAGTAAGTGCGACGATAAAGCCGGAACACACCTTCGACACGGTACGTCACGTTACGTGGCGCATACCGTGACGTGTAATACATTTTTGAGCTTAGAAGAAATACACTCTTGGCTTGCACAACACGCTTCATACCAAGCTTCATACCCTGTACCGACACTGACTAGGTTTTTTCCCGCCAATTTTATTTTAGTTCAAAAAATAATATATACGAATATTATTTTGTGTGTTCAAAACTGGAATGTGCCATCAGTACCGATTCTTCCGATTTGGAAGAAGTACTAGAAGAGAGTGAAGAGGCGGCAGTATGTTTACAAATATTACAAAATAAAGCAAGTCATAGGACATTATGTATGGGTACATGAGATTAACGTCACGAGAATCATTAGGCGAAAAGTAACGATTCAGTTCCCGTAGGTACTTTTTGAATTAATGACTTTTCCATTTTTGATTTTCAAGCCTTGTGGTTAGTGTTTGTACACTAACCAAACAAACACACACAATTCTGAACTTTGTTGACCAGTCAGAAACAACTACTCCGAAGGCAAATACCCTTACCGGCAGTGTAGTTCAACGCCGGTAGGGGTATTTGCCCTCGGAGTAGTTGTTTCTGACTGGTCAAAGAAGTTCAATTTTGCTTGGACAGGAAGCTTCAGCGGTATGCAGCCTATGTCCTGATTAGTCCTAACAAGGACGAAACCCGTCAAGGACTGGCTGGGGAAGGCGGGGTCCACTATTCAGTGGGTCGATTCCCAAACAGGGACTCTTATGCCACACACAATTCTGCGCAAAACTGCTTGCATACACAGCACGCGTGTGAGGAAAGTGTAGATTTCCCCAAATCAACGACAAGCGGATACACGCGTGTTATGTGATGCCAGCGTACCGTGTTGGCTATACCGTATCGTGAAGTGTGTGTGATCGAGATCCATAAAAAGACGCGTATTGGAGACCTCACTTTTAGTACTGCACGCGCCAGCTCGAAATGTGACGTACCGTACCGTGTCGAAGGTGTGTTCCCGGCTTAAGTGTTTCCAGAAACGTCTAAATGTATCCAACAATGTTTGACGTTTGACATTTGCACAAAGGAAGTTTTTTCTTTCGAAAGAGTGCAGCGCGAGAATCAGCGCCATTTTGTTTACTTGCCAGAGATGTTATTTATTGACAAGGTTCCTTGAAGTTAATAATAGGTTGCCTAGTAATGGGTAACTTAACGCATCTAGGATGCCTTGGAGATTTTCATTACGAGCGTAAAGTATCTTTTCCGCACTCGCGGATTGCACGAACTTCGCTGGCGCGTCGTTCGTGCAAACGCCGTTGCGTGCGGAAAAGTATAACTTTCCGCACTTGTTAGGTAAATAACTATTTCGATGCGCCACAAGTTGAATTGACCATTCTTATGTGCTTTCATAATATTGAGGCTGTCCGCTTGATCTCAGACTTTGGTTTGAAGGTATCTTGATAATCCTGTTGTTCTAAAGATCGGCCCACACTCCGATCGGCCCACCGGGAATCCCGGTGGGTTCATCCAACCCTGGGTGTAATTGTACAGTGTACAGTGTGTTTTTTCTGTCATTCAGGAAAATAAAGTTTCATTTTTGGGGAGTACTGATGAGTATTTGTTTAGAAAATCTTCCTTATTTTCAGGTCACAGTTTCAGGTACTTTTCAAATTAAGTTTTTCTAATTTTTTTCTTAATTGACATTTCAACATTATTTAAACTGTAATAATTATGTAAGTAATCTTTCACTTTTAAAAAATTAGTGGCGTCCAAATGGCAAGGTCAAAATCAAGCAAATATTATCTGAACCCATTTCCCAATGCCACTGATGAAAAGCTGCCGTGCTTATATGTTTAGTGGTTGTTTTCCGGAATCAGAGAAAATCAGGAAAATAATTGCTACAGAAGTTATTGATGATTAGTGTAATTTCATTTTTTAACCACTTCTCCCAAGTCGTTCGTAATATTTTGCATAAAAAGCTCTCCGGCAACTGACTCTCATATTTATTTATCAATAACTGCCTCAAATGTATGTTCTGCCCTCTTTTCTGTTATAGGTCTTATTAAAGTTTTGTTTCAACTAAGGTTCCATCTTTCACATCATTTGTATCCAGGCGGGCGTTGTTTTTTCTCTTCTGTCTTCTAGGAGTAATTTTCGGATTCTTCTGTTCAGAAGCGAACAGCGAACATACTCTCTTCAATCCTCCATGGTAGTTCTGATCTTAGACTTCTGATACCTACTTATATTTATGTTAGTTGAGACATCATTGAGGTTGATGCACCCATCATTCCATTTCGACCGATTTTCGATTTTTGCCCTTACTGTTTGTAGTTGGTAGACACTACTGTCGAAGCGAGTCAGTCAAGGCTGACACATCTACACTTTTGTCTGCAGCCAACAGCCAATCAAATTTATTTTTAGGAAGGATGTCCTGGATTTCGAGCGATTTTAATAGATTTGTCCTTCCGAGCCCTTGAGAAGGACGCATTTTGTCCTGGATTTTAGCCAGTTGCTCAAACAATATAGAATAAAAGATGTTTTTACTATTTATGATGACATTCGACAACATTGCACTGTTGGCATCTGTTTTTCCGTCAATCCGATGATCCGGAAGTATTCCTATATGTCCAATATTTTGGCGCCAAAGTACTGGACCAATAGGAATACTTCCGGATCATCGGATTGACGGAAAAACGGATGCATGAAAAGTCAGCTTAATTTTTCGGTTTTTAAAATGTTTATTTAATTTTTTTAGCCAACATTTTTCAAATTTATTTTGTTTAAAATTAATAAAACGTTATATGATAAGGTGTCCTTTTTTGTTACTCTGTGTGCTTGTTTGTTTACAGCTTTGTCCTGGATTTCAAAAATTAATAGTTGGCAACCCTAGTCGTATTGGTTGTTGTGTCCTTTTTATATTGTCACAACCCCTATACGTTTCGTCTTGGGACGTCACAACAGGAGTATTGAATAATAAATATTACCCTAGAAATAGTATCATGACATCTCTTCTACAGAGGGACGTACTACTTATAGGCCATTCTGTATTATATACCCTCTGTACACTTGGCGTGACTGAAGACTGAAGCTGGGTTTGAGACCGGTCCAGAAGAGCGTTTCCCATTAAAGGTAGTTTGCACTGGGAGGAGACTTAGCTAGAGGAGCTTTTTCCCATTTGAGGTACTTTGCACTAGCCTTAGTCTGCCGGTAGTGGATTTTGGCGCGGTATTTATACCAAATAAATGCTGACTCGTCGACACACTTTGGTAAAATTAATGTGCAGAGTGGTATTTACTTAAGTAGTTGACAATATTCTTGGATTCTGGCTTCTTTGCTACTACATTGAGGTTCTATGCTCTATCTTAGTGAGATGATGAAGCCTAGTTCTGTGGCTCAGCAGTGGTATAAATTGAAATTAAGATATTGGCCGGTATGGAGCTGTTTGACACTTGTTGTCAACATATCTCAACCACAATTTTGGCTCAAGCTCAGTAGCCTCTGATTCAAACCAGTTCATGAAGATGTTATGTACCACAGGGTCAGTGCCCTTTGGTGGTTCATCTTTTCGTGTTTTTTTCTTGAAAATCGGGATGGTCTAGAGAGTCTAAACATCGTTTTAACCAAGGTTTCAACAGATAATGCCCTGTACTGGAAGGGGTATTAGATCTTTCCATAGACGATCTTTCCATCTAGCTCTTTCTTTGATTGATTGGTAGATTTTCTACATCAAGACTGAAGCGTGACTTTTTTAAAAATGTAATCGCTTTGGCTTTGGACCCTTTGGGTACCCTTTAGTTTTTTTAGGAGGTTGAGGCTCAGCACAAATCCTACAATCTCAGTCAATTTCATACTAAGTAACATTCTAAAAAAACTGTACGGGTCCTAAACGGCTCCAAGCCTCCAATTTGATCAGATTGAGGGGACACTTGGGTAATAATAAAAGCAGAATATTTATACCTACTAATAATATATTTCATGATATTCAATATTGCACATACATAAAATCCAACTTATGTAGAAATCAAATTCTCAATATGAGTTAATCAAAATAATTATTTTCCAAAGCTCTCAAGGGACCATATTGACCTTCCCTTAATTCTCGAGATCTACTTCTTGCCTTAGCCCTATCCTTATCTGGACTAACATTGCCACCATTGTCAGTTCTATTATTTCCAAAGGTGTATGTCAATACATAGTTGCCAGTTTCATCACGTATTCTTGTAGATTGAAATATGGGCGGGTGCTATAAGTAAAAGTTCGGATCTGTAAACCTGAAACGAAAAATAAATAAAACAAAGAAAACTTCTGCCATAACAATATACCTGGCAGTCAAAATGTAAAAAACTGCCGGCAAAGGAACCAAACTCAGTAATAAACTGTGCATCAATGGATCAGCAAGTTGAGTGAGGGAAATTATCCCATAAGCATGCAAACACCAATGTCCCAAAACTATAACAATATTCCTTGGTTGAGTTAGAGTAGTACGAATTAAGGCCGATATAGATTGGTCCATTCTCACCGCAAAATGGGCAGCACATGATATGACCGAAATAACAATAGTAAGGTAAGGAAAAGAATAATCTACAAAAAAAGGTAATTTTTTTACTCAAAAAATCTAAGTCTTATTGAGAATACTTACAAATTAATCCTCCAACAATAGCATGGGTCAATATCAAAATAGGTATAAAATACAGTGCAGCGTAAATGGCCATTTTACCTTGCCTTGGTAAAAATTTCCTGCAAACCCACGGCCTTACCAACAGCATTAAAATCAATGTTAAAATGTAAAACAGAAAAACTATGGTATACCTACAAAATATATTGCATCAAACACTATCCTTTTATAAAAATACCTAATAAACTCACAAAGGATATACAGCTTCTTGGGTACAATAAATTTGTTCCTCATAATTAGGTCTAGGATTGTGAAGTAAAGTGTACCAATCTGACAATGAATGTGATTCGCAACTGTGAATTGTAAATTTCCCAATTGGATTAACTGAGAGCAAAGCTAATACACATGAAGCAACTACCTCAAAGAAAGCTGTTATGTGTAGAGTTAGAACATTTTTACTAAAACTAAATTACAATTTCCTTTTATAAATTAATTACTCAACATTTCAAAGGTTACCTTCTCCTCATTGATACCATATCGATGAAAAACCAATGCAAGATTAGCGCCAGTAAAACCATAAAACCTAAATAGAGCCAATCATAAAGTTGCGGTGTTTCCAAGCAAGGCTCACATATAAAAGTGGTATCATTTCTGCGTAAGCCTCTAGGACAAGAACCACATTCACTTAATTCTCCTGTGTCTGGCAAAAAAGTTCGGCCACAGTACCAACCTGGACAGATAGACATTTTGACCTGGAAATTTTCAAGATTTAGAATTTTGAACCTGATTTCAATATGAAGAGCTATTCTCAACCAAGAAACCGAGGAAGCTAATTATTTTTGTACATATGTGTATTTTTAAATCACAAGATAGTAGTTTCAAACTATAGACCCATTTCTTTAATTTCTAATATTGCTAAAGTTTTTGGGAAGTTCATCCATTCTAGGTTGTGTAATTTTGTTGAAAAGTACAATTTACTTATAAAATAAAAATCAATTTGGATTTAGAAAAGAGTGGTTTTGCAGCAGTGCGACGTTGCGGGTTTTTGCTAACACGATAATATAAGGAGTCAACTGACCATGGCTGTTTTTCTGGATTTGGACACAGTTGATTTGCTCCAGGGGTATACCTTTAGATACCATGTTAAGTAACCCTTTTTCTTTATAATATAGTCGTGAGAGAGAGTTGGGCGAGTCTAGAGAAGCCAGCTAACAAGTCAATACCTAAATAAAATAGCTTTGTGGCTAAGGAAAAATAGACCATCTTCATACACAGGGAAAACTAAATGTATGTTGTTTAGTATGTATAATTAAAATTATTTACATAGGATAAGTGCGAGTCCAAAACAAAAATAGAATTAGGAAGTGGCTAGAAATAATAATGTGATATTGACAATTGACAAAATAAATATTATAAGTAGAAACATTGATAACAAATTCTGACTCCTTGAAAAATAAATATTTGAAGAGACAAACAAACACTAGAAACAGAAATATTCCATGTTTACTAGTAGAGGTGGCTAAACGTCATTTGAAGTAGGTACCTAAATGCTATTTAACTTTTTAATTTATTACCAACTTATTATAAAAAAAATTAAAACAATTAATAACAAATTTAAACATATCATGATTAATTCAAGTGATAAGATATTAAACCTCTTACATCCTAATATACTTAGCATTCTTAGCGTACATAATAAATAGACCGTGAGATAAGGTACCGTTGATTGGAGTCATTTTTTTTTGTCTGGCATTGTGAGGTCTGAATGTGGCTAGTTAGCTGATGAGAATATGGGTGCTTCTTGTTCGAAATTTTTTTTACTTACACGAAGTATTTTTTTTTAATGATCCTAAATTGTCTGACATTTGAATAAATTGATAAATAATTCACCAATAAAAAATCCCAGATACTTTTTAATGGCTAAAAAAGTGGGAATGAGAGTCAACTTTCAACAGAAAAATATACAAGTTTCCGCATTTACTTTCTGTTTGGCAATTGAGATAATAGATTTGGTGTGAAAATAATGCTGAAAAATCGCCAGATGGTAGTCACAGTTTGAAATCGAGTTTTGGGTGAAAAATTCTGTGGAAATTTCGAACGGGGAGCAGGCATTTAAACCACTTATATTCTCATCAGCTAAGCAGCCACATTCAGCCCCTCAAAATTCCAGACAAAAAAAAAAAAAAACAACTCAACTGTACCTTATCTCACAGTCCATAAGAACTTTAACGATTTATTTATATATTTTGCAATCTATAATTTTAAGCATTGTGACATTATAATATTGACTAAAAGTTGGTTTATAACATAATTAACTTGAATGGTTGCTACAACAAAGCAAACTTCCATAAGAATGATGGCACTTTGGCTATGAGATTCTTGGCGGATATTGATCACTTTCCACTAATACAGAATTATTCTTCGATGATCTGGATGATTATTATTCAGACAAGAAAAAAAAAAAAAGATCGAGCTTCCGATTGTTGATATGAATATTAACAATTCTAGTATATAAGGAAGATATAATGAAGGGAATGCATAAAAAGTAGTAGTTGCTATTGCTACTTCAAAAAGTATTGACTTTGGGTGGTATGAATAAAAAACGAAGTCTCTGCTTCTACTACAATTATTAGTATATTCTCCGTAGTATTTACTTTAAAATAAAGTAAAGTCTGGTTTAATACCCCAAGTCAAAAATTTAGTAACTATGTTGGCAACACAAGCCTTTTCTACATAAAAAAATTGAAAGCATTGATAATTTTACATTGTATTGCCAACATAATGTCATTTTGACTTTTATCTTTAAAAAAAACAGACTTTAAATACTATATTTCGAAACTACCGAAAATTCGTAAATCCTTCTTTGTAAAGTAAATACTTCATGGAATATACTACTACTTGTAGTAGTAGCAGGTACTTCGTTATTATCTACAGGGTGAGTTTTTTAAAGTGTTACAATGCGATATATCAAAAACAGCTGCAATTTTTTTTTTGACATTTTGGTGACGTAATAAGTACACGGGGGGACACATTTTACGATATTTTTGACATTTGCCCCTTAACTCTCTTGAGAGGAGTGGGGGGTCATTTTCTTATTTTAAACGGAAAGATGTGTTTTTTATTCTGAAATACGATTCTACATACAAAATGGAGTCTGTTCACAAATTATTTTTCAAATTGTTCAACTAAATATGGAATTAGGACTAAAAAGGTAACTACAATAAAAAAAATTCTTATCGCCTAATTTTTAATTATCTATCGTTTATTATGCCTAAAAAGTTGTTCAAAATGCCCTCCTTCGACTTCCAAACATTTCTTTATTCTTTCCCGGAATGAATTTCGTACTCGTTGTAACATTGCTGGAGTCACCAATAAACATGCAGAACGAATTCTGTTTTTCATATTCTCTGGAGTCATAGAAGTCGTAGGAGCAGTAGCCATTTCTTTATCCTTTTATAAATCCTAATAAAAAAAATCAAGGGGGTCCAAACTGAATAGGAACTGATAAAAAATGATTCGAATCTTGCAATTATTAAAAAAAGCTGCATCAGAAAAAATACCATTATTCAAAAATGGGTAATTTTTGCGCATTTTTCTTGAAGCCCTAATGCAAAAATTCATGCGATTCTCAAAATCATGACCCGAAAGCTCTTGATGAATTGTGATGCGGTAAGGATAAAATTTGTACCTGTGCAGAATTGCTATAAATTATTGTTTGACTTATTCTAGCATCTAAAGCAAGCCGCCCAGTACTTGTTTCAGGAGCTATCCTATGAAAGTTATCCCTGTTGCCATCAAAACCCCAATGTTTATTTAAGTATGTCACATAAGAATTTTTAGGTGTCATTGATAATTGAATTGTGTTCAAAAAGAAAAAACATGGAAGCGAATTTTAATGTAGAAGTTGATATGTTATTAATTTTGGGAGAGTGCAGAAAAAATTATAGGGAGGCTGCAATTTTGTGGAAAGAGATGTTTCCGAATATTCCAAAATCTCATATGGCCTTCAAAAGACTGGAACCAGAAGTCGTATGACTGGTAGTCTAAAAGCCAAACCAAGAGATAGGACTAGAACTCAAACAAATATGGCAGTTGGTGTTTTAGGAGCGGTAGCTATTGATCCTCAAACAAGTACCAGGCGGCTTGCTTTAAATGCTGGAATAAGTCAATCATCAATTATAGCAATTCTGCACAGGCACAAGTATCATCCTTACCATATTACACTCCATCAAGAGCTATACGGAAATGACTTTGAGAATCGCATGAATTTTTGCACTTGGGTTTCAAGAAAAATGCGCGAAAATGACCATTTTTTGAATAATGTTATTTTTTCTGATGAAGCTTCTTTCAATAATTGTGGCCAGGTAAGATTCAAATTATTTTTGACTAGTTCATATTCAGTTTTTGTTGTTTGTCTTTCTGAAGATGAACAGACACAATATGCATTACTGGGCGACAAATAATCCTTACTGGATGGGAACTGTACCAAATCAATATCCCTGGTCTATCAACGTATGGAGTCGTATTTTCGAAGATAGAGTTATTGGCCCGCATTTTTTTCAAGGTCATTTAGATGGACAGGTGTACGAAGTTTTTTTAAGAAATCAGTTACCTAGATTGGTGAACCAGAATATTAATCCAGACGTATGGGTTCAGCACGACGGAGCTCCACCCCACTATGCCATACAGGCCCGTAATCGTTTGAATAGTTTATTTGGAAATAGGTGGATTGGTCGGGGTGGTCCTGTCAACTGGCCTGCTCGTTCGCCAGATTTGACCCCGCTTGATTTTTTTTTATGGGGATTTATTAAGGATAAAGTGATGGCTACTGCTCCTACGACTCCAGAGAACATGAAAAACAGAATTCGTTCTGCATGTTTATTGGTGACTCCAGCAATGTTACGAGTACGAAATTCATTCCGGGAAAGAATAAGGAAATGTTTGGAAGTCGAAGGCGGTCATTTTGAACAACTTCTTAGGCATAATATACGATAGATAATTAAAAATTAGGCGATAAGATTTTTTTTTATTGTCGTTACCTTTTTAGTCATAATTCCATATTTAGTTGTACAATTTGGAAAATAATTTGTGAACAGACTCCATTTTGTATGTAGAATCGTATTTCAGAATAAAAAACACATCTTTCCATTTAAAATAAGAAAATGACCCACCACTCCTCTCAAGAGAGTGAAGGGGCAAATGTAGAAAATATCGTAAAATGTGTCGCCCCGTGTACTTATTACATCACCAAAATGTCAAAAAAAGAACGCAGCTGTTTTTGACATATCGCATTGTAACACTTTAAAAAACTCACCCTGTATACCACCCAAATGTAACAGTTGCACATAGAAGTATCTGCTTCACCTATGAAAAATATACTACACTGTATGGCACAACAGAAGTAGGTACCCAGTAAGTGCTCAATTGGAGTATCTATTATTTGGGGCCGTCGTAAGCATCACTCATCAGATGTAACAACAATCGCGTAACATGGTTATGATGATCTTATTACACTTTAATGAAAGTTACAAGGATTATTATTATCAAAGTTTCTTTAATAAAAGGATGACCCCAAAAATCAAGAGGGAAAAAGAGAAGTGGAAACGACATGTTTTTAGACACTAACAATATTAGAATATTAATTGATGAGTTTTATATGATTAGAGATAGGGCTGCCATTTATGAAATTTGTTACCTAGGACAATTTTTACAAAAACCCCGGATTCTAACCCTTCAAACCCGGACATCACTAAAGGGTAGCCCACCTTAGGCGCCGCCGGAGGCAGAAGATTTTTTTTGGTGCCACGCCCAAAAAAGTTTATTTCAAACCTTTTATAGCTTTCACCGAGCTCCAAACATGACTAACGACACGTGAACATGTTTAGTTTAGTTTAGTTTAGTTTATTCATTTTATGTTCTTCACAATATTTTGTATACCATTTTTGGTGTAGAACTCGTCAATATAATATAATACAATACAATATAATAAAATATAATTAATTAATTTTATAGTATAAATATAAATTAACATTGATATAAGACGTTTAAATAGTTACTCTCCAGTAGAAGTTATCGTTGAGTAGATTTTCCATTAAAATTAAAATTAAAATATTGCACGTCAGACATTTAAAAACAGACTTTCACAATAATACTCATACAACAATTATAATTAAAATAATTTTTATAGGCACAGTCACAAAATCAGTCTATCTATCACAGTTTCAATCGTTTATTTTATTTGACTAAGATCTTCCTCAAAATATTCTTTAAGACTGTAGTAAGCTTTGTTTTCTAGAATTTTTTTAATTTTGGGCCCTATTTCATTTGGAGGAAGCTGCCGTATTTTATTTGGTAAAAAGTTCCATATTCTCAGAGTCATGTGTGTTGTGTTTTTTTGTACATAGCTAAAATTAGCTTTTTCAGTTTTTAAGTAGTTTTTTTGTCTGGTTTCATAAGAATGAATATTTTTGTGTTTTTCAAATATATCAGCGTTCTTTGAGACAAAGTTTATACTCTCTAAAATGAACAGATTGTATACTGTATGTATTTTTAAGTTTATGAAATGTTGTTTACAGCTGTCATTGTTTTTTAATTTTTTTATAATTCTTATGCATTTTTTCTGTATTTTTAGGATGGTTGGAGTTTCTACTGAGTTTCCCCAGAATATAATACCGTATCTAATTTTTGATTGAATGTAGGCATGGAAGGCCGAGACTGAAGCTTCTAAATCTACCTCATCTCTCAGCCTCCTTAAAGCATACGAATATCTTCTCAAAGACTTCGCCACTTCCTGAACGTGAAACTAGAGTCGCGCACACGCGGGCTAAATAAAACTGATGATGTCGATTGACGATTTCCATGATTCTTGTCAATTTCGCGGAGTTATTCGTGATTTTTTTCAAATGCCGTAAAGCGTAAAACACGGATAACTTCAAAAAATCCCCCCTGACGTCTTTAACCCTTTCACTGCTAATCACTGATTTATAAGTAAATGATTTTTGTGATCCGAATGCTAACTACTTATATATAAGTTTTTCAATTTAGTGCTACAAACGCTAACCACTGATATATTATATTATTTGCCTTTTACATGTCGCGATCATATTGCTAACATATAATTTAGTAGTGGTGTGTGGCAGAGACCTGCCTGGATATGAATTTCAGTTATATATACACCAATAAAATTTTAGGAGGGGATTTTGGAGGAGGCTGAATATTGGAGCGTCCCATTGTATTTCCTGTATACCTACGTACGTCGGTATTTGGGAACAAACAAAAATAAAAGAAATTAAAGAAAAGAAAAAAAATAAAATAAATAAAAAATTATATGTATTTTCAGAAATAAATAATAATAAGAACTGTTGCTTTAACACCTTCCTGAATGCGTGCGAAAAAGCCCGCGCTGGGAGAAACGTCAACTGCGAAGAGCGCCGTACTACGGGAATGCCAATCTGACAGCGCGCCGCAGTGAAAGGGTTAAAACTAGGACAAATCCGGGGAAATCCAGACGGATGGCAGCCCTAATTAGGGAACTATTGAATAGGTGCCTAAACAACTTCTAATCTCTTTTTGCAAGGCTCTTGTGGAATATTTGCTAAGATATTATGCTATAGTCAGTATAATCGAGGCGTTCATTTTGAGTGCTTGTTCTTACACATATCAGACAAATTCCCACAATGTGGGAACATGACAATCACTCTTACTTTACCACGTTTAATGTTGAGGGAAATTGACAAATCCCAAATAGTGCAATGAATTTAAATTCTACATCCGAGTCTACATCTATTTCTTTGGATAGCTGTTATGACGTAATTGCGTTGACGGAAACTTGGCTAAACGATAAAATATTTACATCAGAATTTTGTCCAAAAAACTTGATATCATTTAGAAAAGACAGAAATAGTGTGATAACTTTGGAAAAACAGGGTGGAGGTGTATTTTTGGCTGTAAAAGATAGGTTTAAGGTAGCAGAATTTAATATTTTTGACGAAGAACAAGAGGCGATTTGTATACAACTTACTTTAGCCACACCTGGACGTGTATGAAATTTTTTTTGAAAGATTAGAAATAGGTTTATTAGGCAAGGTAGATACAGATTTTATTATACTGGGTGATTTCAACGTGCCATCTCGTTTTCGGATCTTTTGATTGCTTGGTGGTGGAACAGGCTGAAGAACCGCTGGTACCAATTGATAGTCACCATCCGTGTTTGGATATTAAACTGTCAATTAAGACTTCTCAAAACTGTAGATTGATCCCTTCTACCAAATTCAATTTCAAGAAAGCCAATTATCTTCTTATGTATGAGCTGTTTCAGGAACAAGACTGGGATGATTTATGCGATTTCACAAATGCTAATCTGGCAATTGATGCTTTTTATAAAATAATACACAACATATTTGAGAAATGCGTACCAAAGTCTACACAAAAAAGTAAGAAGTAGGTATCCAACTTGGTTTAGCAATGAAATAATAAAACTTTTAAAGCAAAAACACACATGCTTTTTGAAATCTCTTAAATACAAGTCCCAGTTTTGGAAAACCAGATATAACGGTTTGAGAACCTTAATCAAGAATAAAATCAAAACAGCCTATGCTGAATACTTGGTGGATGTTGAATCAAGCTTGAAATCTAACCCAAAACTTTTCTGGTCATATCTTAAAAGCTTTAAGGAAAGTCCAGAGATTTCGGATGAAATGGCGTTGGAGAATGAAATATTCTCGGGAACAATCAACATTGTTAACGGCTTTGCAAAATATTTCAAATCTGTGTTTATCAGTAATGATAATATTGCTGATCAGACTAATGCAAATATTGCTAAAACATACTTTTGTGATGCAGAAATATCTGTTTTGGGCATAAAAAAGGCTTTCAAAAAACTTAAACCAAACAAGTCTATTGGCCATGATGGTATTCCTGCATTTATACTGAAAGGGTGCAGTGAATTTTTACTTGTTCCTTTAAAAGTCTTGTTTAATCTTATGCTTAAAACCGCCACATTCCCAGAAAAATGGAAACTTAGTAAAGTGATACCTATACAGAAAAGTGGTCCTAAACAAGATATTAAAAACTATAGACCCATAACAATAGTGTGTGCAATCTCAAAAATATTTGAAATTGTTATATTTGAATTGCTTTTTAGTTTTTAATGAAGTATCAATAAAAATATCTCCCAATCAACATGGTTTCCTACCAAAAAGGTCCACATTTACAAATCTTACAATCTTTACACAATATATACATGAAGCATTGAATAGGAAAACACAGGTAGATGTTATCTACACTGACTTAGAAAAAGCATTTGATAAAGTAAGTCACAACACTATTTTGGGTGGTCTGGAGGCAATGGATGTTCCTCCATACCTGATTAATTTAATTCAATCTTACTTAGGAACAAACTCAAGTAAAAGGTATCAGTTTGTAGAATTAAAAGGTAGTCGGTCTACTCTTTTTGTTAGTTCTTCTGGTGTGCCCCAAGGGTCAAATCTTGGGCCCCTTCTTTTTGTTATTGCTTTCAATAAAATTCTTTGCAAAGTTAAAAATGTGGAATCATTGGCATTTGCCGACGATTTTAAATTATTTATTGCAATCACCTCGATTGAAGATTGCGAAATTCTTCAAAGAGAATTGCAAGATTCAGCGAGTTATTGTCAGCAAAATAGCTTTAACTTAAATTTGAACAAATTCTCCTGTCTCAGTTTCAGTCGTAATAAAAACCCAATTGAATTTGACTATACAATAAATAATGAAAAACTAAAACGTGTTTCTGAACAAAAAGATTTGGGTGTAACTTTTGGTGATAATCTTTCCTTTTCTTCTCATATTATTTCGAAGATTGAGAGTGCCCAGAGAGTTGCCGGGTTTATTTGTAGAAATACTAAACAGTTCAATATTGATGTCAGCATCCACCTATTTGATAGTCTGGTATTACCAATACTGGAATATGGTAGTATAATTTGGTCCCCTCAGTATCACATTTGGATAAGTATTATTGAGGGAGTTCAAAGAAAATTTTTGAAAGCTATGCACGGGGTTGGCAATGTTTGTTTAGGAACCAGAATTTGGTCTTTTGATTTGCTGGCCAGCAATTTGCTGCTGAACAGTTTGCATAGTTTGCAACAAGGAACAAGTGAATAAATACCTCGAAAATGGAATTGTTTTATTTATGTTTTTCTTTCCATTATTTTTCTACTTTATACAACTGGTCTTTTACAGGATAGTGCCTGTATACTCGTTCTTGTCTTGTTGCTTGTTTAACTTGTTTCTGTTTACTACTTTTACTACTTATCTTCTACTATTTACTATTTTTAAATTGTTTTTTGTTATGTTATGTTTAACGTCAACGTCAGACCCAAGAGTAAAGACAGCTTTGACAGGTGAGTGGAGTGGTGAGTTTTCGCCATAGGTTTTCGCGACACGATTCTGTTCGTTCTGAACAGTTCTGGAGTAGTCGAAGGAAAACCAAAAAAAAAAAAAACTTTATGGGTTTTCACACAGCCTCGTTTTCACCATGCTCCGGACGCCGGTTCGACCATGGTTCGACATACCGCAAAACACTATAGGAAAAAAAAGAATTCTTAAACGTTGGAAATCACCTTTTCTACATTTAAAATCGACGAAAAAATTAACTCACACAACACAAGCACAGCCTGATCGCAAGCTATCCATCTAGGTCTGCGAGTGACATCACAATAAATAGCTGCTGATAGTGTTGAGGTCCTCGCAGACCCGCCGTCGACTCAAGAATTCGCGAACGTACGCCTAGGATGAGCAATCTGTTATAAAAATACAATACAATACAATACATACAATACGCGTGTTGTTTTATTCAACTGTTGAAGCAACGTTGGCAGCGTTGAGCATCTAAAGGTACGGTTTGTTAGGATAGTACGCGACGCACAACTGACAACGTAAACGTCGTCATTGGTTCAGGTATGACGTACACCCGTTTTCTGACGCTGATGCTGATGTAAGGCTACCATATTATTCTGATGAAAATACGGGACTTTTTTGTGAAGCAAATGTTTCACGTATTTATAGAAAAAATAGCGCCGCAGGCGATTTTTTTTTTCCGTACCATGCCCGTGGGACGAACCCACGGATAATACTTCTACTACTACAAGATAGCCTCATAAGGCCTGTGTAGAACAAATCTGAAGCCCCCTACCCCATCAAATCACCATTTGTGACATGGACAGCATGTCGTTTCTCGCCTTGACGTAGGCTGTTTGCACCACAGGTTATAATTCCACGGGCTTTTGCTTTGTGCATACTTGGTTTTACTACATTAATTAAAATTTTAAAACAACTGTTTTTTAGATCTCGTTTGCATCTTCCTATTTGCCTATTATGTCAATCAAAATTAAATAATATTTTTCATCATAAATTTAAATTTTAAACTACGACTGCTGGCGCAAACGACTCAGTTGATGACGTTAACAATGGTGATACACCAATATGACGGGGATTACCAAAAACGAGGCCGATAAGCAATCCCTTGTGGTGTATATGGTCCTTGGGTCGAACTGGCCAAATTGTAAACTGTCAAATGTCAAATACTGTCGAATAACCACCACTTTGCTTGCAATATGGGGCGCGTTTGGGTTGACGATCGGTGCACTCAGAGCGTGCACTTTTGTCTCTCTTCCGTTATTTTTGAAGCTCCGACAACGCTTGATTGTGTTTGGTTTGACATATTTTGAGCGCTCCGAGCGAGCTCGATAAACTCCGAGTTTGTGGAGTGGGCAGCTGGAGCGTGCATGCGCATATCAAATGTGTTTACTTTTAATCGAATTTTCTCGGTAGTCATCATTACTGGCATTATTGAACATATTTTTCCAAGGGAACTTGGCAGCCTCAGAGTGTTTAGGTCCATTTTATTGTTTATGTAGCACGATATTTTTAGCAGAACACAAAAGAAAATGGGGCTGTTTGAAAATTATCGACTAAAATAAAAAATAAACGAGAAAACTCTGGTGCGAATGCGGAGTGCGGGCTCGGACTCCAAAAAATATATCCTAAAAAAATAAACAATAATCAGCTGATCGCTCAACTCAGCACTTTTGCACGAGTTTATTTGGCTTGACACGGTGTACCCCCTATGACGTCACGTTACTCCGTAATCGCTCTGCTCGCTCCGCCGAGTGTCAACCCAAACACGCCCATGCTGAGACAAAGAGATGAGGCGAAAGAATCGATTTATTTATGACGCCGCAGAGACCGGTTATGAGACGCAAAAATCGAATTATATTAGGCTTTTTAAAATATCAGAGAATACGGGACATTTACGCGTCCCGACAACAAATAAGGGACTGTCCCGTATAATACGGGACGTGGCAGGCTTATGCTGACGTCAGGTAACGGGTGTACGTCATACCTGAACCAATGACGACGTTTACGTTGTCAGTTGTGCGTCGCGTACTATCCTAACAAACATGGGCGCCCGGGGGGGGGCAGGGGGGGGGCATCTGCCCCCCCCTGGCTTTTAATATAAATACTTAAAGGAAAAGTAATTTGTGCACCGATCAAAAGATACAGAGAATTAACTTTTTTTCCCGTCCGAAATAAAAGTATTTCCAAATTGTTTTATTTTTTAACTAGCGGACCCGGCGAACTTCGTAACGCCTCAGAATCAATAAATGCTAATGCGTTAATTAGCTTAATTAAATTCAGTTTTTTAATAAGATAAAATGATCACTAACAATAAATTATGTGGTTCAATAAATGTTCAAAATTAAAATGGAACAAACCGCGCAATCTGACGCTGCAAACTTGGTATCGGTTATAAGACATGGCGCCGTATGCATATTTAGTGAATTTTCTTCATAAATATGTTTTTCTTTTTCTTTTTTTTTTTAATATGTTCCAATGCTCCAATAGTTGTTATGTAATTCGGGCCAGACAAATCCAATATAACAAAAATCATAAAAATCGGCCTAGCAGTTCTCGAGTTATAGGTTCTGCAACCAACCCGACAGATAGATAGATAATACAGTTACGTCAGTTGAATGCGAAAATTTGAATTTTTAAATTTTTTAATAAAAAAATAATACAGTTACGTCGGTTGAATGCGCGAACTTAAATAAATGTGGCAACGTTGTTTCATATTGTCAAAAAAAGTTGGGTCATATATGTGAATAAGTTTGTTTATAATTAATTAAAAAATAATTTTGTTTTCCGAGAAAAAATGTAGCCTATACTTACTCCCTTTATATAGTGACTAAGTGGTATAAATTCCAAGGAGATCGGTCCAGTCGTTCTTGTGTTCTAAAAAATAATACAGTTACGTCGCGTCGGTTGAATGCACAAGCTCAAATAAATGTGGCAACGTTGTTTCATGTTCTCAACAAAAAAGGTTGTGAATGAGTTTGTTTATAACTATTAATTAATTAAAAATATTTTTTTCCGGCATAAAAAGTAGCCTATGTCACTTCCCTTCAGATAGAGATTACGTAGTTTAAATTTCAAGGAGATCGGTCCAGCCGTTCTCGAGTTATAAGTGCTTCCACAAAACACAACTGTGTTTTATATATATAGATGTTTATTATATTAATTACAATTAGCAAAATTTGGGTGTGGCCCAAAAAAAAAATTCCGCCTGCGGTGCGCTTTCCACGATTCCCCCAAGAGCAGTTTATTTGCCCCCCCTGTGAAAAATTCTGCGGGCGCCGTTGCTAACAAACCGTACCTTAAGCGTTGTTAAAATTCAACAAAAGAACAGTCGATGCTCCATCATAAGTGTTTTTTTTCCATCGGCGTTTTACGATGGCTACACCGTTGGAGCCACCAAGCCAACGATGTAAGGAGATGGTTTTTAGCAGTGTTGGCTGTTTGGTATCCAGATTTCAAGTATAGATTAGATTGAGCTTAATAGAATAAAAAGTTCTTAATTATACCTACCAACCATTCCAACCAAGTGGAGGCCGCACTGTCGTCTGAAAACTTTGAATTTACTACGTTTGTGTCTGAACGTTTATTAAAAGTTTTCTACCCATTCTTTTATCCATCAACTCACCGGCACAACAACAAGCCAACAGAAATTCTCTGATGACCAACAGCCAGATAACGTTACTAACAGAACGGTGAATAAAACCACATGCGTGATAGGAGTTCACTGAAGTGAACGAAGGCGTGCTTAGCACCTTTTTATGAGACTGAGGCGTCAAATGCCGATCAGTCAGACCATATCATAATGCACCGAAGAAGGTTACTAATATACCGGGCGTGTTTGGGTTGCCGCTCGGCAGAGCGAGCAGAGCGATTACAGAGTAACGTGACGTCACAGGGAGTACCGTGTCAAGCCAAATAAACTCGTGCAAAAGTGTTGCGTTGAGCGATCAGCTGATTATTGTTTATTTTTTTAGGATATATATTTTTTGGAGTTTGGGCCCGCATTCCGCATTTGCACCAGAGTTTCCTCGTTTGTTTTTTATTTCAGTCCATAATTTTCAAACAGCCCCATTTTCTTTTGTGTTTTGCTAAAAATGTCGTGCTACATAAACAATAAAACGGACCTAAACACCAACGGCGCCCGCAGAATTTGTCACAGGGGGGGGCAAGCAACAATTACTTTTCCTTGTGGGAAAAAAATTTAAAAAAATTGTAATCAAAACTAAAACAACACAACGTAAATGAAATATTCCAAATTAAAAAAATAGTATATTTTTTCATTAGGAGTAAAAGTGATACTTTTTGTGGCGAGACTAACAGCTGTATGCAACATCCTCTTTCAACTTAAAAGCGCTTTTTAAAACTGGTCACTTTTAAAAATGTGTATTCTGAACCACACAAATTTTTAAAGGTACCAGTTTTTAAAAGCGCTTTTAAGTTGAAAGAGGATGTTGCATACATGTAAATGTTTGACAATTTTAAACGAGCCACAAAAAGTGCTTTTCTCCGAATAAAACATGCGATTTTTTCCGCAAACGGTGTTCTAAGCAACGGAATCTAGGAAATTTCTGTGACGTCACTTTTTTGTCCGGCCATGAGCGTACAAAATAGTATATTGTTGTATTAGGAATAGAAGCGTTACTTTTTTGTGCTGAAGCAGTAGGTTTGCGAGCCGAACGTAGTGAGGCTTGCAATACTGCTAAAGCACAAAAAAGTGCTTCTACTCCGTATGCAACACGCTATTTTTTCTCCAAACGAATGGAGTAAGCTCGAGGGTAACTGGATGGTTGAGCGGCAGTAAATGTACGAGCGGCACTAAAAGTACTTTTGCTGCCGCTCCAGCGGCACTAAAAGTACTTCTACTGCCGCTGCGGTTGCCTAGCAGCATAGAAATTAAATTTCTACCACCTTGACAGGTGTTAACCTGCTGAATTTGCCTAGCAGCATAG